AATGCTGGTGAGGATGTGGAGAAAGAGGAACCCTCCTGCACTGTTGGTGGGACTGTAAATTTGTTCAGCCATTATGAAAAGCAGTATGGAGGTTCCTCAGACAACTACAGATAGAACTGCCATACGATCCAGCAATCCAACTGCTGGGTATGTACCCAAAGGAATGGAAATCATCAAGTCAAAGGGATACCTGTACTCCCATGTTTATTGCATCTCTATTTACAATAGCCAAGAGTTTGAAACAACCCAAATGTCCATTGACAAATGACTGGATAAGGAAAATATGGTATATATACTCAATGGAATACTACTATTCCATATAAAAGAATGAAATTCTACTATTTGCAGCAACATGGATGAACTTACAGAATATTATGTTAAGTGAAATAAGCCAGGCAGAGAAAGAGAAATACCATATGTCCTCACTTATAAGTGGGAGCCAGAAGAAAGAGAGAGAGAAGGAGGGAGGGAGGGAGGGAGGGAAGGAGGGAGGGAGGAAGCAAGGAAGAATGAATCGCAATACAGTGAACTTTCAAAAAAAGAAGAGAGCTGTAGTTATTAGAAGTGGGAAAGGGGGAGTGGAGGGAGATTAGTAAGAAATTAGTTAATGGTCACAAAGATTGATTAGGTTTTGTAAACATGAGTATTCTAATTATCTTGATTTGATCACCATGTTTTGTACACACTATTGATATTCAGATCTGTACCCTACAAATACATATAATCAAAATATGCTTCAATAAATAAATAATTTTAAATATTCTTTTTTCTACGGGGTCTGAGAATTACTGTATTCTTTTGGTGGTGTCCTATTTTCTTGGATTTTCATATTTCTGGTATCTCCATGTTAATGTCTGGTCATCTGGTAGAGCAGGTGCTTCTTCTATTACTTTGGGGTGGGCTTTGAGGAGAGAGACTTCCTCTTCTTTTTCCAGTCTCCACTGGTGACTCTTGTGTCGATGTGGTCACATGGCTGGCAGGCCACCTGCATGGTGCCTGTCACTGCTACTGTGGTGGCAATGTTTTTGTGGTAGCCCTGGCTTGGCAGTGGCTGTGGTGGGCCACTAATGTGGAAGTTGTGTTTCTGGTGTACTCCTGCCTTCTGCCAGGTGGGGGGCAATGCCTGTGACTCCTGCCTAGGACCTCCTGCTTGCTCCTGCCTTCTCTGGAAATATCATTTGTTTTGTACACAGCACTCAGTGCTGGAAGAAAATAGCCTTCACCATACAGACTATAATTCTCCATTTGTGTTTCTAGATTCCTGGGAACTAAAGCATCCCCAGGACAGTGTAATTGGCATAAATGACTCATAAGCTGATGTAAATACCCACTAGCAGAGAGAGCTGTGGACCAGAGACACTAACCTGTCTGTCAAGTAGCCATAGAGGATGCAGCCCACCACCATCCCAGCCATGAACAGGAATTTAGATACTGAATTCAGTGACTGAGATTCACATACTAGGTCCCACTAGAAAAAAAACAAAAAACTTCACAGCAGCTTATAATCACTCAGTGTAACCAGATCAAAGCTCCTTCACATGACCTGCAAGATTCATCATGTCAGGCTCCTATCTTCATCTCCAGCTTCCCTTTTCTTCATCACCTAACCTGTATTACTTAGGTCTCAGCATAAACATAATTTTCTTTGGGAAGCCTCCCCTAAACCTGTAGGTTACAGTAATGTCCAATTTTACAAGTGGTTCTCAAACTTGGCCACACAGTACAATAATTTGAAGACCTTTAGAAATTTACTGAATCTTGAATATCACTGCAGACCTTCTCACATGACTGCCCTGGGGGTACAGTTTAGGCATTGAGATTTTAATCAATCTCTCAAATGTTCCTAATTTGCAACCTCAGGCTGAGCATTACTGACTTAGCATAACATTGATAACAAAAATACATGAATTACTTAAACTTTAGTCTTCTCAAGAATGAAAGCACTATGTTAGCAGGATCATCTCTATTTTTGAATTCGTTAGACTCACTAAATATGTAGGTATCTGGCATTTAATAAGGAAGAAATTAATATTTGCTGAAAGAATAAAGAAAAAGCAACTACATTGTGTCTAAAGGCTTGCAACATGTTTATTTGTGTTATGTCCAGATATCCTGGTCTGGTACTCATAAGAGGAAAATCGGGTCTCTTACCTCAGTTGTGATGGTGGAAAGGAAGGTGCTTCGGCTGTACACCCAGCCATCCACACAGGGCTCTGTGTCCAGCTCACTCACATTGAGGAAGGTCCCATTCAGGTGAAGGAGCTGCCACTGGGGATAAATGAAGCGGCGACACTTCTCTGGGCTCAAATTTGAGTCCAGCGGGATGGAGATTCTCAGGAGGGCATCTTGACTAAGGATCCCAGTGTCATTACCAGAGACAGTGTCATTGTCGAGGATGTGGACCCAGCAGCGATGACCAGGGACAGCTGCAGTGAAGTTCTCCAATACAATATGAGGGTACGCTAGGGCGAGGGCAATTACAATTAAAACCATCTGAAGGATCTGGAATCTTCCCAGGCCTCCGACTTGATCCAGGAGTTCCTGAAAGGCCATTGAGCCTGAACAGATTATCCCCAATAGGAGGCACAATGACTGTCTCTAGATAAGTTCAAAGGGAAAAATGGTTTCCTTTCACTGTCTGTGTTGATTCTGACCCCACTTTCTACTCAATGGGCCCCACCTCAGCAGTGCAGCAGGGTCATGGAACATGATTGCACAAGTTATTTGGGGATCAGGTAGTTAGCTGTTTCCATGAAAGTGAAAAAGAAATATTTGCTGAGACAGCTCCAATAGTCTGCAACAAAATCTGTTTAAAGTTCCTTTTCATGAGAAGTCATGTCGTGAGAGCATTGGACTTTGATTTGCACGTTCTCTGTAAATGAAATAAAATAGACCTGCTATATGATTTGCAGTCCTCTCTAGAATATGTAATCCATGAGAGTCAAAAGTGAAGTTTTAAAAAAAGTTTTTCTGTGGAAAGTACTGAAAGTAAGTGCTTTGCTTGTTTAGTACTGAATTTTCATTTAAGGAGTTATTGAAAACAATCTTGAGTTAAATTAAAGCAAGTGAGATATGGTACTGTTGATTAAAATGATCGGAGACGCAAAGGAAGACACAGCAAACAAGATGCGGGTGAAGAGCGGGGGCTACTGCTCTCTCAGGCAAATAGCACCGACCCAGCCGCTGTCACAGCTTTTATTACTTTTAGCAAGCTAGTGCATGCAAGATAAGCATTAATGCATAAATTCTGCTATACTTTTCTCAAGAGCAGAAGGCCACTGTCACAGCTTTTATTACTTTTAGCAAGCTAGTGCATGCAAGATAAGCATTAATGCATAAATTCTGCTATACTTTTCTCAAGAGCAGAAGGCCGTTACCTCCCTTCTCAAGCACTTGGCTATCTATATTGCGTCTCCTGGGAACATCCCAAGAAATTTTTCTCATGACTTCAAGCGTTGTCAAGGATTGTTTGCAATCCTTGACATTTCTTGGTTAACTCCAAGCACTTGGCTATCTATATTGCGTCTCCTGGGAACATCCCAAGAAATTTTTCTCACGACTTCAAGCGTTGTCAAGGATTGTTTGTAATCCTTGACATTTCTTGGTTAACTCATTTGCGAGTTCGCCAAGTGAACATGTCCTTGGGTGCTGACCACAGAAGTCCATTAACCATTTCCTTCATGGTACAATCCTTCCCTTTTGTTAATTGACTTTCTGCTTCAGCTCAAATCATACCAGAAACTCATTGTGAAAATAAGTTACTTGAAATGAAGAAATGAGGGTAGTCATGAAGAACAGAGGCATAAGCCAGAGGTCAACTCATACAGAGGTTTATTTTTCTAGGCTGTGGATTCATTCAGACAGCATTTGTGAGGAACATTTTCATGCTAGTTCCAGGAATAAAGCAAGTGAAAGACATGGTCTTCAGGGGTCTTATAGTATAGTGAGTAAGGAATAGGTACATAA